AGGCCCACGCAGCCTGCATATGGACCCGGTCTGGCCAGCACAGGGATTTCTTTTTCACCTTGAATCAGTCACCGATACGGAAATATATCAGAAAATGCGGCATAAAATCCTATGTTTCCTGCTTCCCTACTTCCCTAGATGTCAGAAGAGCAGCTCCCGGGCCCACATTCCTTGGTGGCAACAATCAGCAGAAGCAGAGACCAGTTTCCAGAACAGACCCAGGACGGGGCCCCCAGGTCAGCGCCGACCGTCTGCCCTATCGCACTCACTTCCGTGACCTATCTGGCCCACAAACAGGGGGGAGTTTGAACCCTCTGAACCAGTCCCCCTCCCCACCCATCATCTTTCTAAAGGGAAAACTGAGACCCAAGAGAGAAAATCGTCCCAGGTCACACAGGCAGTTAGCGGCAGAGCTGGGGTCAGGGCCCAGGGGCCCGCTTCCCACAGGGACACCTCCGCGTCCATCACTGTCCTTCGGAGAACATTCCACAATCTCAGAGCTTGAAGAGGCCCTAAGGATTTGGTGTGGGGACAGCCAAGGTGCCCTTCACATCTCTCAGGGTCACTCTCACGCTGGCTGGAGCAACACCCCAAACCAGCATTCTGGGGTCTGACAGCCTCAGGCGCTGCATCTGATGCACGCTGATAACAACACGTCCTCTGCATCCCGCGCTGCTGATGCGCCTTGTAGATGGGAACTCCCTTGATCCTCTCAGCAGCCCTATCAGAGAGGTGGTACTGTTTTTGGTGAGGAAACTGGGCTTCAGAGAAGTTAGGTAAGCGGCCCGAGGCTGCACAGCTAGGAAGCGGCAAGGCCAGGATTTGCACACAGGCGTGAATCCAGAGGCTGTGCGCTGACCGCTGAGTTGCACCACCCCTCAGACGGCCGGGCTCTGGCCGCAGCCCTGCCGGCGACAGGAAGCTGATGCAGCCAGGCTTAAGCAGCTTACAGCAGCCCACCACGGAATGCCAGATTTAGGCTAATTTTGAGGAAGCCCTTCTAGGCTCATGAGAGAACTGTTAACCACAGGCCCTGAATCACCCTAGGAGGAAGGTGCCTGGGTCTGGGGAAGCTGGGTGTGGCTCGGAGTTGGGCAGTGGTGGGGGGGGTGGGATGATCTGGGCAGGACTGAACAGAGACCCCAAGGTCCACCCACCGAGACGGAGCGGGGAGCCTCTGGCCCCAAGGGGCTGTGGCTCACCCAGAGTCACTCTGCATTCAGAGAAGACAGAGAGGCTCCACACCGGGGCTGTGCACACCAGCTTCCAAAGGGGAACCGCGGGGCCTCTCCTCCTCCAGAGCGTGGGCCAGGCAAGCCATCCTACCCATTAGCACAAGACCTCAAGTTTTCTTTGGTGGAGAGAAGGCAGTAGAGTGCCGAGCTATCAACAAGAGGATCCAGCCCCCTCCCTCCCTGCTAGGAGCACAGGGGAGAGATCCCCACCTTCCTCCCCACCAGCGGCCCTGGCCCCCCACAGGAAGAAGCAGGTCCAACTCCATACCCGGGCAACAGTCCCAGGCCACAGTTCTGCACACATTCCTGCTTTCCACAGCCCTTTCCAGGCTGCGTTCCATTTGAACCTTACGACTGCTATGTTGTCCCATTTTACAGAGGCAGAAACTGAGCCTCGGGGAGATGGGGGGTTCCATTCGCTTGGAATGAGGCCCCTTCTCCCACCCCTGCTCCCCTCCAGAGGCGGCTGCAGGGCTCCCTGCCGTTTGACAGAGGGGGAGACTGAGGCCCAGGGCAGGGACGGGATCTGTCCAGGGTCCCGCAGACAGGTGGTGGGCGGCCGTCCTCCCACGGTCGGGGGCGGGGGGCATCCGTAGGTCAGGGCCCTCTCTCTTACACACGCACACACACACACACACACACAGGCACACACAGCCTCCCCGCGCCTGCCCGCACACTCACCACATGGTAGATGGCCAGGGCGGTGGTGGCGATGCGGACGTTAAAGCAGCAGCAGGTCTGGCGGGTGGCAGGCGCGTGGGGGGCCATGGTGCCGCTGTCCCCTGCTCCTAGGCACTGAGGTGGGGAGCCCAGCACCCGGAGCAGGGCAGAAAAGGGGAAGCTGCTGGCTGCCCTCCTCACTTCCTTCCTGCCCCTCAGACAGGCAGGGGCCAGCTCGTCACCACGGGGGCGGGGCAGCGGGGACAAGCCACAGCCTGCCTCGAGAGCGCCGCAGCTGGCCCTCTGCCACCCCCGGGGGGGCTTCCCTGGGGAGGGCATGTCCCGGCACCTTGGACGCAGCAGTTTGGTGGGTGAGCAGACACACGCCCTGCTTACGAGCTGCTCCCCATCGCTCCTGGAAGCAGCGTTACCAAGCTCATTTCCAGACAGAGAAACGGAGGTCCAGAGAGGTCAAGGCAATCACCCCAAGTCACACTGCAGTTAGTGCTGGTGGCAGGATTCAAACCCAGGTCTGGCTGGCTGCCCACATAGCTCTCGTGTAGTATTTCCTACATGTTCTTAGCATGATCCTGGATTTAAAACAAAACAAAAACATGATCCTGGATTGACTGTTGTAATCCTCACCTCAGTCCTTTGAGGGAGGTACTATGATTAGCCCTGTTTTCCAGATGAACAGAAAAGGGCCCAGAGAGGGGAAGTGATTTGTCCAAGGTCACACAGCTAGCATGTGGAGGAACTGGGATTTGAACGGAGGCTGACTGGTTTGAGAGGCGGCCCCTCGGAGTGGGTGTTCTCTTGACTCTACCCCCAACCTCAGAGAGAAGCATGTTCTTCCTGAGCTCTGTCCGAAGCAGGACAAAAAAAATAATTACTGAGCAAATCCATCCGTCATGTGTCAGGCCCCAGGCTAGGCTCTCCCCACACCTGGCTCCTTAATGCCTCACAGCAATCTGGGAAAGTCTCAGTCAAGCGTCTCCTTATGGGGGCCTCCAGGCCCCCTGAGACTCACATGCAATCAGGGATTTTTCCCCCCTCACTCTTGGGAAAAGTTGGAATTAATAAAGCATGACTATTATCAAGCTACACTGGGACCTTTGCTCCCTTCTCAGGTGATAAATCATCCATACTGCAGTAAAGGAAGGGAATATGAGGCACTTGGGAAATCCCTACAAGAAGTCGGATCTGTCCAGACGCCGAGCTCACTTCAAGGTACTGCTTCTGCGGGAGAACACCGGGGACCTGAAGTCCCACCCCCGCATGATGTCAGGATTGGCCACTACGGCTGCTCATCATTTCTGCCCCAGGAGAGGTTATAAAAGGTCTCTATGCTCCTCCCCCTGGGCAGGAACCACAACACTCAGCTGGTGGACTTGATCAAACCTTTCTCTGTTTCCCTATGAGACCAAGGGGGGCTCTGCAAGCTTGGGTGCCTGGGCGACCCCGCCCATCCCTTCCCCCACCTCACTTTCCAGCCTGTTTATTTGCATCACAGGCCTTGCAGAGATCAGACATCACAGAAAGGTGGTACAGAGTCCTGGTCCCGCGTGTGGGCTCTAAGGCTCACCGCCTGGGTTCAAATCCTGGCACCTGCTGGCCGGGGAACCAACACAGTGACAAAAGTCCTGCTTTGCCCAAGAGCAGCAGGACCAGAGTGGCAGGAAATGAGGATCGCAGGAGCCAGAAGGGCCCTGAGGCCATGCTGGAGAGTCTGGATGTAACGGTGCTGGGAAACCACTTGAAGATTTAATACCATAATAAATGAGAGCCATGAATAACATTATGGTTTGGTGAAACTGGAGCAGGTGTAGAGCCAATTTCCAGAGCGAGTGCCGGAACCCACTGCTGGTACGTGAGGCCATTTTACATGGTATATGGATGAACACTTTTCATTTTTATGGTGATAAATTCATTGTAGTGTGCGTTATAAAAATATACATAACTAGCCCATGAATTTTGTGATTTTTCCATTTATGAGAGTAATATAAAGTCTCTTTTTTAAAACAGATACATTTAAATAAAAAAGCAAGTTGGTTTAAAGAAAAATATCAAGCCGGCTGCAGGCCAGGAGGCAGGCAGATGGGGCAAACAGCCAGGGAGCAGCGTGGGCGTCACTGGTTTGGGAATTTGGGTCCTTGGGAAAGCTCACAGGAGCTGTGTGATCTCAGACAAGGTGCTTGATCTCTCTGAGCTGTGGTTTCCACAGCTGCAAAACAGAGGCAGATGCTCCACCTTGGTGAGGATGAAATGAGGTCTGTTTGTTTCTTCCCTTCCCAGACCAGCCTGGTCCCCACCCCCACCCCCACCCTCAGGCCGTTGGGAAGAGGCACAGTCTGGACTTGAATCCTGATCCATCTGATCCTGGGTCCTGGCCACCATCTCCCTCCCAGAAGCACCGGAGTTCTGACTGATCCTTAGTTCCACGCTGAGTAGCCGGCCTCCAGCACATGAGGGGCCCTGGGTGGGAGGGGAAGGCTCAGTCACTCCCTGAGGGATGGAAGCCCATTCTTCTTTATTTGTATCCCCTCCAAACTTCCTGAGGAAGGGATGCTTGGTATCCCAAATGTCGGACCCTTTGGCCAAGGCCACTGAGGTCAGCAGAATAAAGAGACCCACATCCCCATCCCTGGAACTTGAGAATCTATGTGACCTGACATGGTAAAGGGACTTTGCAGGTGTGATTAAGTTAAGAATCTTGAGACGGGAAACTGATCTTGGAATATCCAGGAATATTCAGGGCCCGATATAATCAAAAGGGAATCATCAAAATGTAATCATAATCATCATCAAAAATGTAATCATAAGTGAAAGGGGGAGGCAGGAATATTAGAGTCAGATAGAGATTAGAAGATGCCAACCTGCTGGCTCTGAAGATGAAGATAGCCAAGGAAAGCAGGCAGCTTCTAGAAGCTGGAAAAGGGAGCAGATTTTCCCTGTACGAAAGGATGCACCCTGCGGACACCTGATGTTAGCCCAGTGAGAGCCATTTTGGACTTCTGTACTCCAGAAAAGTCAGGTAATAAAGTTGTGTTGTTCAGGCCACCGAGCTCATGGTCATTTGTTACAGCAGCGACATACTGGAGGAAGGCATACTGGCCCACCCTGGACCCTGGGTCTCCCAGACACCCTGAGGAAGCCACAATCCCCATCCTCACACGTGCAGCCCCCGGCCCCGCTCGCTGCAGACCTTGGGCACGTCGTGGACTTCTCTGAGCCTCAGTTTCCCTCCTGACACTTATCAGACCATGATAACACCCATCTCATTGTCTGTGAGGATGACCTGAGGACGTGCCCGTGGGGATGGCAAACTTCCCTCTGCCCCTCACTCCTCTTCTGCCCTTTTCCATGACAAACAACTCGTTTTGGGCTTCCCCAGACTTCTTTCTAACCTCTTCCTCAACTGGTGGAAAGCTTGCAAACTGGAGACATTCCAAAGTCCAGATAAGGAGAAGGCCGCCCAGCGGGGACGCACCTCCCGGCCGAGCAGTCTTCCTGAGTGTCTCTTCTGACAAGGTCATCTGCCAGGATTCCCATCTCTTCCGAGGTCACCTTTCGTCCCGAAAGCGTCTGTAGCTTCCGGCTGCTTGTCCGGCTTCCCATCTGCTGCCATGCTCTAGGACCATTTCCATGGACTTCTCACTTTCCTCAAAGGTAGAGCTACTTGTGAGCTTTCTTTGTGAAGCCAGAAGAACATCACTGGGACTTCCCTCTTCCCCCACGTGCCTGGAGGTAAAAATAAAACCTGCCAGGACTCTGCCGGGTTTCATATTCAGACAGAGTTGGGGAGTCTCGTCCTTTCCATTAACCTGAAGTGCTTAGGAGGGCCCGGCTCCCAGTAACGACTCAACAGCGGGAGCTATGTGGATGGGATTGTTGCTTGGATTACGCCCATCATTAGCTGAACCCCTTGCCCGGTTTGTAGCTCAGCTGAGCCTCCCCCAGCCCCAGCCTGGAGAGAAAGGTGGCAAAGAGGTGTCAATTGGCCCCTGGCAGGCCCGAGAGGTCGGAGGTCAGGGGCCTGCCCCGGGACACACAGATGGACAGCAGCAGAACCTGGACATGGGTCCTGCCTGCCTGGGGATGGCGGCTGGGGAGGCACATGCGTGGTGCAGCCACGGGGGGTCGCTCTGGGGCTCTCTTCCCCAGGGGGCTCCCAGGTGCCCTCTGCAAATCACTGCAGCCTAGGGTCAAGCTTTCTGCCCAACCACCAGCCTGTAATTCCCTCCTGGCTGCCCTCACCATCTCACTCCTATTTTTGAGATTTGGAGCTGGGACCTGTAGGGTCAAGGTCAGTGGCCTGGAAAACACGAGAAACCACCCAGTACTCTCTCCCCTCTCCGTACCCCCCAACACTGCCTGCTCCCCAGGGACCATGGGGCCTGCAGATGTAGCCTCAGGGTAACTCCCCTACACCCCTGTCCTGCGGAAGGGAGCCAGGCCTGGACCTCAGAGGGTCATCCTGGCAAGGAGAGCCAGCAGGCCTGGGCGCGGGGAGAGCAGGCCCTCCTGTGACAAATCAGTCATCCCATGGGCAGTCAGGGCCCCTGAGGGGGTCTGGCCACCACCCCAACAAGGAGGCTGCTCTCAGCCAAGCAGATGAGAGGTCACAGGCTGCACCCAGGGGCCTAATCACACCCTATACTGCTCTGGGGAGCGGCCACGGGGTGTGCAGGCAGAAGGCCCCTGGCAGGGGGCTCCACGGAGAGGGGGGTGGTTGCCACAGTCAGAGACGGCCCTGGCTATGAGCAGGACGGAGGGCCATGCCAGCATCAGCCCGCCTAATCCCAGCACCTCCCTCCTCCTGGCTGTTAACCATGCCCTTGGAAAGCACCTCATAGATCCAGGTCCCGAAAAAGTTGGTGCTCAAGTCGCACACCTGCCGTTAATACCACAGTAATAAATGACCTCATTGGGGCATTTCCCCCAGATCGGGGATTTTTACTTAATCAAATAAAAACAACAACAACCAAACAACAAAAGTGACAGGTCCTGCTAAGGGCCGAGGACCTGGAAGAGGTTTAAAGAAAAAGAAAGGCAGATTGGGCGCCTGGGTGGCTCAGTTGGTTAAGCGACTGCCTTCGGCTCAGGTCATGATCCTGGAGTCCCCGGATCGAGTCCCATATCGGGCTCCTTGCTCAGCAGGGGGTCTGCTTCTCCCTCTGACCCTCC